AATGTGCCGGGTGACCTTAAAGTCACTAGGTAGATCTAGATTGTGAGTAACTTCTGATAGAAACACAAACGAGAGAGTTATGGTTTTTACCGTTCAAAAGAAAAGACTTTACGATATCGAACTATATAAGAAGCATAATATTTATAATTTGCCAGGAGATCTTCGAAAAATCAAGATTAAACAGACTGGTGTAATCAGAAATTTTAGTGTTATGGGAACTTCGAAAACCTTGGTCTTCTTCAAATCTAGGTTTGCTAAATTCTCCTAAAAATATTTTCAAAGACTATGTTTCTCATATGTTTCAATGGCTCTCAAATCTCATCTTTTCAATAGTGAAAACTGTAGCTTTTTTTGTTTCTATCAAAAGTTATTCGCAAGCAAATAATGCCCGATGATTTAAAACTCAACATGAATATATAAACATTTTCCATCGGTAAAAAGTTAATATAATAAACTATCACAAGCTGAATCTTACAATATCCGTGTGGGATTATTTTATTTTATCATAATGTCAAAACATAAGCATATTATAGAATCGATGTCATACGATTAGAACATACTGACAGCTTCAGTCTAACATAATATGCAAGATTGAATAATCGAAATAAGATTGATACCTGCCTCTTAATCTAAGTATACAATGACAAACTCATACTGAAGTTGCTAAATACACTATAAATCTACGACGATGAAGATCGATTAGTGTCTAGCACTAGTCATTTTTTATGATTAATTTAACATCCATTTACTAGTAAATGTGTAAGTCGATGCATTAACCGGCAGCTGAAATTGCAAGAAAAAACGATGATAAAGAACTTATTGACAAGATACAAGACAATAACCTTTTCCAAAACTGATTTGAAAGGTCAGATATTTTTAAATCTTTTATATCTCTATTACAGCATTATCAACGCATTCCTATTCGAAAACGAGATACTTTCAACAAACGGACATGAATTTATAATAATAATAATATGAAAACTTTAGTCAAAAAATCTTTTCAAAATGACTAGTACATCTAAATCTATGTTTACCGAATCAGTGCTTCATTATATTTCAATGTTGGACGAGAAATTCGAATATATTTTGTACCATCTGGCACTTTAACAATCATTTGAGCTTCTGCAAATTTGTGTGGACACAAATAAGTCTTAAAAAAAAATAATGAAAATTAAGAAAAAACCTAACTTCAAATAAATACTTTATCAGCACAACTATCACAATAGGAAGCTAAATCAAAATCTGTCCATGCTCGTCCATTATTCGATGATTCAAGCATATAAGAAAAACGGGAAAGAGTACGTTCTTGTGGTGCATATCCAACAAGATCAGTTTTACGACCAGCTGATTCAAATGCATGTTCAAGACCTTGTAAAGGATTGGATATTTTTCCTAGAGTTAAAAAAATAAATAAATTTTTGTTGAATAAATATTCATTTCATTCAACCTGTCTGTTGTGCTGCTTCATTTGCCGTAAATATTCCTGTTACTTTACGATTTCTAAAGTCAAAAACACAAAACAAAATTAAATAAAAAAAAATTTTATATAATTCACTTAAGTTCTTCATTTTCTTTAATAACAATCATTTCTAATTTTTCTTCTAAACCACGTCTATGACGTTGTGTTATATCAAGTTCTTCTCGAATTTCTTTTATTGTTTGTGCATATCGTAAGTTTTCAGATGCAATCTAAATTAATTGAAAAAAAGAAATTCTTCATTTTTTTCTTATTTTCAATATTTTCTTTACATTATTCCAAATAAAATGAGATTCAGATGGAAATTGTTGTGTTTGAAGTAATTTTGTATGTTCATCATCCAATATTTGATCATATTCTAATACACAAAAAAATAATTCATATTCTAAAAAAAAAAAACTAAAATTAAACAAGTTTTAACCTTCAGTTGTCATATTAAGTAATGTTAGCATTTGATCTTCTAATCGAAGAGCTACTTGAATATCCAGCATTATTTGATTCTAAGAAATATGATATTTCGATTATTTTCTTTTCATCTATTTTCGAAGTTTCATATATACTTTAACATCAACAAGTGTTTCATCTGAATTGTCTGCTTGATTGGTTCGTTTTCTTGCAGATTGTGCTCGAGTTGCATTATCTGTAAAAGCTACAATGAACCAATAAACATTATTAATACAGATACAAAAAAAAAAGAAATTTTTTTTTTTCGATTAGAGACATATCTAGATTTCATGAGTGTTGAACTCATGGAACTTCTACAACTAAAACAATCTTAAGGACTTGTTGAAATTTAGATAACAGGTCAACTCTAGTGTTTCCAACGAAATTGACTTCATCATGTTTTGCTTACTCACAAGTTTCAACCAATTGCAATAGTTTCGATGGTTAATATACAGTACAAGCTAATTCGTAGATAGTCAAATATGGGTATGGATTTTTTGGAGACCCTATGAGATTCTATGTATTCAAAAAAGTCGTATTTTCGTATTTTTCCATAAAGCTGCTAACACTTAAAGATTACATATACGCTGTCTGATATAAAGAATTACAGAACTTTCAGACTTAGTATCTTTGAGATAAGAACTTTTCAACATATCCAAGTGCCCTTGGAAACATGTTTTTTATGAAGAACTTACAGTTGGAAGACATTTAGTCTAACTGTTTATACAATACAACGTATGTGGAACGTTCAAGTGAAGACAATTTCAATGTAAAATTCGAATATTCATTTTTTTTTCAAATACTTAAGGTTCTGTACAAGCCTCTGGAAAATAGACATATTAAAATTTTTATGGCTGTAACAAACGTCAATAGGAATACAAATCGTTTCAGATTTTTTATTAAAACACTATGTTGTATTTAAAGACAAAATCAATCTTTTCGTACCTTCTTGCATTTCATCATAACCTTGTTTATATTTTGATAGTTCATCTATTAAGGCTTCAGTAGCTGCTTGATTTTCCTATAATATAAATCGATTAATTTTTAATCCGTTTCAATACAAACATAAACTTCAACTAACTATAATTTCTTTCACTTGCAACCGTGTTTTATTAACTTCTTGTTCACTATTAAAGCGAATTCGTTCACATTCTTCTCGTAAACTAAATAATTAGAAGAAAACTAAATGAATCTCCTAGATTTATTTTCCTTTTTTTTTTAATACTTTTGTATTTCATTATCTTTGTCATTTAATGTCTTTCTCATAGTCGCTAATTCATCCATTAATTTTTGTTTAGCATTATCTATTTGTTCAAGTTTTTCACGTGCTTGATTTAAATCACGATTTTTTCCAGCCAAACTATATTAAACAAATCGATAATTTTTATTTTTGTTTATTTTTTTTTTCTTTCATATTACTTTGTTTCCATATCAGCTATTTTATTTTCATATGCATTTAATTGTTCATGATGTTGATCAATAAGTCGATTACAAAGAACTTTATAAGATAATCGTTCAATACAAGCAATACGTTTACGTTTTTTCGATGTTTTATTATGACATTGTTCGACAGTAAATTGATTACTATAGATAAAATCTTTTAAGAAACGAAATTAATTTAAATGAAGAAATTTCTTCTTTTATTTTTTTTATTAAATTTTTATACCGAAAAGTTCATTACGAAGTTTGGATGTAATAGGAGAAAAGACACCTAATTGAGGAATAATTTGATCAAGTGCATTGAATACAAGAACCATACGTTCATCATCATGTCCATTTTGATCAATTTCTTTCATTGCAATATCAAGAGCAAGTGCTAAAAATGAAACAAAAATTATTGCTTTCATAAATAAAAGAAATTCAACATACTTGGTGATAATTGATCAATCAGATCTGTACTTGAATTTGTAGTCATTATCTCTAACAAAAAAAAGCTCTTCGAATAGATCTCTGAAAATCAGGCTCAACAAATTCGTATGTTCTAAAACCAGAAAGCATTTAAGCGATGGTTTCTAGAAGAAAGCTGACATTTCCGTTCAACAGAGCGCTTATTTTTTTCTTATAATAAAACAATTATAGTAAAACTTACTGACAAGTAATTTAAAAAAAAGAAATATGATCAAATGTATTTTATATTATTAATCTTTTCATATTCGTTCATGAAAATATACAAAAAAAAAAATAACCATATGTAAATAATACAATACTTGCTGTGCCGTTCTAACATTAGAGTATTTTTATGACGACCAAACTTGTTTCAACAAGTCTTGCTTATGTCAGAGTTATTCAAAACATTCTATACAATAGAGCCATCGGATTCATCGCGAACTCGATGCGCTCTACTGTATAATTGAAATAAATTTTGATCTTAACTTTTAATTCAGTGCACGCGTAAGATTATTTTTCATTTGGTTTCGACTATTATCTCACAAAATTTCATATGACTATATAAATAGACTCATCAAAAAAAAACTATGGGGAGCCAGCATAGAAACAGCAAATTGAACTGGTTTTTGTAAATGAAGTTCATTTTCACTATTAAGGAGGTAGGTCAACAATTGGTCGCAACAGATGTTTCTTCTGTTCTTTATGAACTCTAATATCACATTGTGATGTAGATGGTTTTTCACGTAGGTTATACATGTCGCTAATGGTCGAAGTGAAGAAAAAACAACAGAAGGCAGCAGATTTCTTCACTAGGAGAAAGACTCAAAAATCAAGATTCTCCTAGATAAATCAGGACATTTAGTAACTTTATTGAAAATGTTTCTTCTTTTTTTATTATTATAGATCATAATCGCCATTTTTAATAATGATACTATAGATGGACCTCTATGAAGATTATCAGGCACTTCCGAATAAACAAAACAACATAAACTAAATCTATTTTGAAATTTAATTGAATTTTTTAAATTTTATTACAAATATTTTATCGTCTTCTGATTTAATCGGATTGATCAAAAAATGATTCATCAATGGGAGTGGCCATGATCGAATTTCCTTATGTTTTTTTTCTATTATTTATTTGTGTTGTGACCTACTGAATTTTATATTGAACATATTTTTCAGTTAGATTAAAATGGCTACACATATTGCACGTCGTTTAATTATTTTGGGTGCACCTGGTTCTGGTAAAGGTACAATTGCTAGTCGAATTGTGAAAACATATGGTATGCCTCATGTTGTTGTTGGAGATTTACTTCGTCAACATATTCAACGAAAATCTGGTAAGTTCTTGATTTTTTGTAAACTATCTTATATAATTACTTTTTTTTTGTTTTTTATTTAAAGAGGAAAGTAAAACAATCAAAGAACATATTGATAAAGGTCTTCTTTTACCAGATGATCTCGTATTGAAATTTGTTGTTGGTGAATTGAACAAAATTCGCGATAAAGGATTTTTACTTGATGGTAAAGTTAATTAAATCAATAAAAAGAATAATAATTTATGTTGTTTGACTTACGTTATATAGGTTATCCACGAACATTAAATCAAGCACAATTATTACATAAAGAAATGACTGTTGATCATGTTGTTGCATTAAATGTGCCAGCTGATGAAATAGTTAATCGTTTAAAAGATAGATGGGTTCATGCGCCTAGTGGACGTGTTTACAATCTTTTATGGAATCCACCTAAAGTTGCTGTAAGTCTAAGTAAATAAAATTAATTTTTCTATTCCGTTCTTTTTACTTAGGGCAAAGATGATACAACAGGTGAATCATTATCACAACGTGAAGATGATAAACCTGAAGTTATTCGTAGTCGATTGGATACATACGATAAAAATACAAATCCCATCATGGCTTTCTACAAGTAAATTTTAAAAAAAAAGACATTTTTTTGTATGAATTTATTCTGTTTTTTTTCTTATTTCTACAGGAAACAACATATTCTTCAAGAATTTCATGGACGTGAAAGTGATAAGATCTGGCCTGAAGTTAAAAAATATCTTGATCGTGTTCTTAATGAACCAACACGAAAACAAGGTGCCTAAAAAACAAACTAGGATTATACAATGTTATATCAAACATATCTCCTTTTGCAGCGATTTTACTTTCATGTGAACTTTATGATCCCATCTTTTCTTTTTTTTTCATAGTCTTAGTGTTTATTTTTGAATGTGACACATGTTTCGGCCTTTTTCCTTTTAAAAAAAATATATCTCCTCATAATGGTTCTATGCTATGGGAAAAAGAATAGTTTGTATAAATAAAAAGAAAAACATAATGATTATCAATCTATCATCATATAAAAGTGAATAATCAAATTTCATCTTTGGTATTTGGTATTATCAAGGTCATTTATTCATACATAGAATTTTATTTTTTTTGCACATTTTTTGTTATATACATCTAAAGATAAAGAACAAGACAATGAAATATGTATTAGGATAGCATTTTTTGGTTATAAGAATAATGAATTTGAAAAAGAAAATATCTTTGCTACATAACTGCACGTACATATGATTATTTTTGCACTTCGCAAAACTAGAAACGTTTATTAGTGAAAAAAATATTCACAAACTAAGACGCATACGTTTTCATATGGATAGTACAGATTCTCATATTATTGCAACAACATTAAATATGACATTGATTGAAGCACGTGATCGATTACATGCAATAATGACAAATGATATGACTGAAACTATTGAACAAATTGGTCAAACATTAGAAGCATGTAATATGAAGAAAGCTCGATTACTTGAACAACTTGATCAAGTTTCGAGAGCAGTTGAAGCAGTTCGAAATGAATGTGGATGCATTGATACAACTATTGCGTTAGTAAAAAATTAATATAATTGATAAGTTTATTTCAATTATAATTGTTTTTTGTTAGGAGTAAAGTTCTTCATTTAAATAAATTAGCTACACAAATTGTTCAACAAATGGCTCTTGTCAATATTCCAGATCCACTACCACCTGTTGAACCATTGCCACCACCAACAGTTGAAATTGATCTATCTACTGTTCATGATCGATTGAATAGCCTTGATCATATGGTTGCTGATTTAACTAAGCTTATTCTTGAAAAAGAAGAAACTGTTTTGTATGTTATTAATAAACGTCCAGGCAATGGAGAAATTACAGCAAGTGTTCATTCACCTATACGATCAGGAGGTTTATTTATTCATTTATCTTATTAGATCATATAGATTTTATAAGAATATAATCTATTTAGGTATAAGACATGCACAAGATGAACAAATTCATGATCAAATGACAAAACTTCAAACATTAGTACGAGGTATTCAAAATGAAGATCCAAATCATTCAAAAGAAATTCATCAACATAAAATTCATCTTCATCATCATCATCATCATCGATCAAGACAATTACCTCATACACTACCACCATTTGACGATGTAGAAGTTAGTAATCATACAAATGAACAACGAAATAATAATCAAAATAATAATAATATTATTTACGATGATGATGATGAAGAAACATCACGTAGTTCAGATCAAACAACTGTCGGACCATGTACATTATGTTTACAAGAACAAACAGAAGAACTTACAACTAAAAAATCTAATGATCGTCGTTCAATCACAAGTAGTAATTATACAGATCGATCTGTTAGTTTACCTGCTACATCTCGTGATGGTAGTACAGTTAATAATCGTGGATTAGGTGAAGCATTAGCTTCGAATGGTAAAGAAATTATCTATTATGATTATGAACGAGAAATGATTTGTATGGCAGATAGTGAAGGATATTCAATAAAATTTCATCATGGTTTAGTTGTTGATTTATATTGGTGGCCATTAAATAGTCAATGGTTAATATTAAGTGAACAAGGTTTATATCGATGGAAAGCTGATGAAAATGAATATTATGATGCATATGAATTTTCCAATGGTGAAATTGGTTTTCGACGTATTGCAGTAGCGAGTACAAGTATATTTTGTTTATTTCGATATAGTCTTATGTTACTTGAATTATCAAATTCAATGCAAATGAAACGTCTTCATGCACTTGCACCACCTGAAACACGTTATCGAAAATTAGCTGATATATCCGTTAGAAAAATAATACGATCCGATGGTAGGGAAGAAGATGTATTAGGTATAGCAAAACTAAAACAAAAATGTACAGTTTTCCCTTTTTTTTTCTAAATTTTTTGCTATTCTAATAGGTTTGATTTGGTTTGGTAGTGGACCAGGCATACTTCTCGAAGAACGACATGTTACACTTCAAGCAAATAATATGCATGAACGTTTATTTCGTCATGTACCGATTCAACAAGGTCGTTATGCACGTTTAGCTTCATATGAAGATGGTCGAGCTTGGTTGATAAGTAATACTGGTGCAGATGTTTTCTGGATTGTTGACAATACTAATGTATCTGTTGGTCAATATGAAGCATCAGCTACATGGGTTAAAGTTGACAGTGGTATACCAATTAATGCTGTTGGCTTTACAGATTCAACTGTTTGCATTCGTCTTCAAGATGGAAAATTACAATTTCTTGAATCTGAACATTGAAAAAAAGATTAATTTGTTTTTTTCTTTTTATTTGTTTCTCTCTATCATATTATCTTTCCATCGTTTGTTTTTTTTTTTTTTTTCTTAAACAAAATTCAATGAGGTCAAAATATAGATAAATTCAATCCTATTCTTCTTTGCTTATATATTTCAAAGTCAATATTTTCTCTTTCTCTCTCTTTTTTTTTCCTTTCACAAACAGATTGCTGTTCGTTGTTTCGCATGTCGTCACATTCGGACGAACGCACGGATAACACGTCGAAAAAGAAAAATTTTCGGGAATAATATGAATGAGAAAAGACGAAGAAAAAAAAAACGAAATTCTTCATTCCCGTTGGTTCATTTAAACACAAAGCTCGTCCGTCATTATTGAACACAATGACCGCTGGCGTCCACAATTCGATATATACATATTTATGAAAGAAAAGCTTTATCTAGAGTGAACAATAAAATTTTTTTTTGACATATTTTCTTACAAATAAACATGGATTTATCATCTTCAAGAATTTTAACAACATCATCAATTGCAAATACATCATCAGGTGCTATTATAATACCTGCTGTTAAAAATTCTTCATCATTAAATAAAAATGCCTTGAATCCAATGCGTATTGGTGATGCAGCTTTACAAAAAATGCGTACTATAACAACAACACCACCAATAACATCATCATCAAATGATTCAACCGATCAACAACCAGCTGTTTTTATAATGAATAATACTAAAACTGAACCTCAACAACCACGAACAATAACTGTTAATCGTCTTTTATTTTCAAATAATAATCATCATAATACAAATATAACTAATCCAACATCAACAACAATTATAAATGGACAAAATGGTATTAATTTAGCAACACTTGTTAATAGTTTAAATACATTAAATCAAATGGCATTATTACAATCAACAAATAATTCAACAACAACAACACAGAATAGTATTGCTAAACTTCTTGAAACACCTATTCTATCAACAACAAATGTTATTCAACAACCGCAAACAACAATTGTACCATCTATTAATAATCATAGTAAGTATTTCTATTTTCATGATAGAAAAAACAAACAAAATCGTATTTCTTAAGCAAGTGTTCCACCTTTCGATGTAATATTATACCGGAAGATGTAACAGTTTTTCGCAGTGAAAAATATTAGATTTCATGTTATTATGGAACACTTGCTGAAGAAACATCAAAAAAAAATGTCATACTCATTCATTTCTAGTTTCGTCATCAAATAAAGAAAATGAAAATACTCCTTCACCACGTATAACAAATGTACGTTCAACATCTGTTTTACCAACATCCATACAATCATCCTCTGCAACAACACCAACAATACAAAATGATGCATTTTTTGCTAAAACAAAAGTGTTAGTTGAACTTTTAACATCACCAAGTACACAACCACCATCATGTTTTGGTTCATCATTAATTGAACCTGAAACTCAAACACCATATTCAGATGCAACACGTACACGATCAAAAAAACGTATTAATCGTATTAAACGACCAATGAATGCATTTATGGTTTTTTCACAATTGGAACGTCGTAAAATTGTACAATTAGCACCTGATATGCATAATGCTGAAATATCAAAATATTTAGGTGCAAGATGGAAACGTTTATCTGAAATTGAACGCCGTCCATTTATTGATGAAGCTGAAAGATTAAAAATGTTACATTTACGTGAATATCCCGATTATAAATATAAACCACGTAAACGTGCTAAAAAAGGTTCAACACCACCAAGAAATTCAACTAATCCACATACATCATCATCAATGGATACAACAGATACATCATCCGATGATTGTACATCGAAAACAACAATTTTACCTGGTATTAATCGTTTAGATGAAAATCTTTCAACATCAATTGAAAATGATTTTGATGAAAATTCATCATCAGCATTACTTACAAATACACTTGCTTCATTGATTGATCCAAAATTAGGTTTATTTTCAACAAATGCAAATTTTGATGATCCATCATTTTTTACATCATCACAAATAGCAACAGGTACATCATCATCATCATCATCATCATCACAACAAATTGATCCACTTTTACTTGATGCACTTGCATCAGCTGATCCTCAAACACAAGAAGCTTTTTTTAATCAATTACAAATGCTTGGTGATTTTAAATTATGGGCTGATCTTGATTTATCAAATAGCGATCCAACTTTATAAATTTAAATATATATTTGATATTATAATGACAAATCTAACTTTGTAAATAATTTTCTTTCGTATTTTGTTAAAATTCAAATAATGTTGGATTTCGGATGGATTTTTTTTTTTCGCTCTAGAGTATTTTTTGTCTTCTATTTCATTTTGACGATAATCAATTAAAAATTCCACGTATTTTTTTTTTGTGTTTGTCTGTTTCTTTCATGTTGATGAATTTGACTATAATAAAAAAAATGATCTTTTGTTTTAATTTTTTTTTCACGATTATAATCATCAGCCTAACACAGATTACAAAAAAAACAGCGTTCTATTCTTATAATGCATTATTTTCTGACATTACAATATTATACTGAGAGAAAAAAAAAATAGTGTACAAAAAGAAAACAATATACAGAATTTATAATTAAGATTGCATCGATTAGGTTAAAAATGAATGTAAATCATGACCATGTGTCATATCATTTGTTGAATATGTATAAGACATCTAAGCAGAAAATAAAATATTATTATGAATAAGAAGAAAATGAGTTGCAAATGTTTCACGATTAAGAATATCACAAAAATGGAACTATGTACAAATTTACTGAGATTTGTATAGAATGATTACGAACAATATCAAAAGAATACCTACCAGTATTTCTAATTGAAATCTCAAATCATTTTGGATAATTTATTGTGAAATTGCATTCATATGATTGAAACTTTTACGTAGAAATACTGTTTGAAATAGGAGAATCACTTAAGCAGAGGCTATTTCGTCATATTTGGGAGAATTTCGAGACTTTTTTGAGTATACATTGGAAGTAGAGATGTGAAGAGTAAGGTTTTCAGTTATCCTGTGCAATTTCTACTCTCCGAATATCGATTGTTTCCATACTGAACCTTATAATTTCGATAGGGACTGCAAAATCCTAAACGGTTCTTTGCGTGGATATACTCTTGAAACTATTCAAGTCCAATACAAATTCTTGACGGTATAACGCGAAACATATGATGTTTTGCTTTAAAATATGACAAGTTTTGTATTTTTGATATCGAACTTTTTCTTTATCATGTAGATCTCAATAATGATTGTGTAGCAAATGTTTCGAGAGTGTATCCATTCCTTTTCGTATCCTAAGAGATTTTTATCAAATTTTCCCTTAATTCAACTTTAGTTAGAAGACTTTAAGTGATAAATAGTGTCACGTGATAGGTGTGTCGGACGAGCTTCTTTCATACATCACGCTGTGACAAAGAAAAATTTTCAACCAAACACAAAATTCTGGAAAATCAACCCAATCATCGGGGGAGATGGGGGGACAGCCCTCATGCTGAATAAATTGTTAAAATCATTCTTCTAAGAACTGAAAAATTTGTTACTTGTTTTTTCATAAATCGCGTTATTATTATCGTTAACGAGATATTTTTGGGTGTGATTTCGAAAAATTTGAGACTCTACTGGCGCTATAACCAGTATAGCCGTGTTGTGGTTTTACATATCAAGCATTATCTATTCAATTTTGGAAAAGATAACTTTTAAAACTTACTTGATACGGTTGTTGTTTATTTAAAGTACAATCGAGTGGCATTGTATTGTTTTCAAATTCTATAGGAAAAAAAATAATATATTATTTTTTTAAAGATAAGAACAAATCAATTCTTACTTCCATTTGAGTTTTTATGAATTAAAGCTGACAAAGCCGTTGTATTTAAAGGATTAAAAAAACATGGATACTACAAAAGAAAAAATTGATTGTGAGATGTAAATATGAGATATATTGATTATGATTTACTTTGGATCGTACATTTCCAACAAAATTCGATGAAAAATTCTCAAATGACTTTGAATCAAATTGATTTGAATAATTAAACTGACCTAATGTTTGTTGATTATTTGTTGTTTTTTTAGTTCGTCGTACTTGTTGATTATGTAATGTTGGTTTAGATTCAATAATAATATCATTATAATGAAATAATGGTTCTGATGGATCTTTACGTAAAAGTAATGCTCGAATTATTTTTGTTGCTGCTTTAGCATTTAGTTTATGAAAGTAAGTTAAATGATGAAATAAAAATATATCTTGATCAGCACGATCACATGGAATATTTGGAACATGATGTTGATCACCCAAACCTTGAAATAAATTCAATAAATAAGAAAAGAAAAATAAAAGATAAGATCACATAAGAGCCTCTTTTGAATTTTTTTTACATGTTTCCACCATTCACTACTCGCTTGATGCAGAATTTTACAAGAAATTGTTTGATAACAATATGGATCTGTTTTTCAAGGAATCTAATCCATACATCGAAAAGTGATTTATGTAAACCTTGTCTTTTAGTACTCAGTAACACTTTTACTATTACATGTGAACTGTTCACTAAAGATTGACTATATGATGAGTAGTCGACTGACATAGTGTTTCGGCTCGAAATGTTTTGGTATTGAAATGGTTTACATGTTTCATTACTTTATTTATGCTCATCGATTTATGATACAAAATCCAAATGTCCATATTTTAAGTCAGATTAGATCTGCCTACTTTAGATATATCTTGAATTTGTTACTAAAAAACTCCTCATGAATGGAAAGAAGATGAAGATGTTCCGAAAATGGCTCTTATATGTTTTGTGTCGTAAAAAATTATTTAACTTACCATACATATGATGTGCTAATAATGGGCATTTACTTTTAAGTTTTCTTACAGCACATTTCGATTGTGTAACAAGATCGTCATTATGAAATAATTGTGTTATTGTTGGAGTATAAGATAGAACAGCAAGAACAATTTTTTTAGCTGCACGTGAAGAAAGATTATGATGATATTGTAAATGTTGAAAACAAAGAACTTCTTTATCGGCTCGTCCTGAAATTTTTCAAATTTAGAACAATAAAAAAAGAAGCAAATAAAAAAAATAAATAAATTTTTACCACAAGGAACATTAGTTATATCATGCTCATCTGATAGACCAAATGCACCATCATGTGTCAATGGACATTTACCTAAAATAATTTATATTATAAAATATCTGAAAATTGTTTTTGTTTTTGTTCTGTGAACATACATTTATAACCTTCAACAGAAATATTTCGTTTAATTATAGGTTCATCAATACTAAATAGAGTTTCATTTGGGCTGATATTATTGAAAATAGCACGAACTAATTTTCGAGCTGATACACTATCAAAATTATGGTACCATTGAAGATGTTGATTAAGAAAAACATCATTTAATGAACGATCACAAGGAATATTAGGTATTTGATGAGATTCATGAATACCAAACACACCTATAAATATAAATAAAAATAAAATACGTATATATGATAATTATATTTTCATAGAACAGACCAATTCGTATAAGTGGACAACGACATTTAAAATTTTGTACTTTCTGATACGACATTGAATATAAATCTGAAACTTAAAAAAAAAACAAATAGAAATAAAAACTCTTGTTTGTTATCTTCGTTTAAAAATAAAAAGCCAAAGGAACAGTAACATCACCGGAAATAGCGAAAAAAAAGAAACGAATTATCTAACGTATGCCAAAAGAAAAACGAGAGTCTTGATTAATAATTATTTTGTTTAGCTAAATCACCAAAATATGCTGTTATCGTTTTTAATCGATTGTTGAGAAAATTTTGTTCAAGTTCTAATGGTGATTTATCATCCATTAATGATATAACTTGTTCAACATTAACATTTCGTGGTAAGAAATAGACAACATTTGATGTTATTGCTTTAGCAACTTCAAATACTCGATAACCATTTAATTCAATATTTTTTTCAAGATCAAATATATCAATTGTACCATAGGATGGACCACCCCATGGTGGACTTAAATAAACAACATCAGCGGTTAACGTTGGAGCCAATTTAAGAAAATCACCTAGAAGAAAAACAAACAATTACTGAAGTTTTTTTCTTTTACATCTTATAATCATTTCTCAAACAATAGATTTTAAATTAAAATATTATCGCTATGTTTTTTACAACTAACCTTGAATAAATTCAATTCGATCTTCAACTCCATAAACTCGAGCATTTTGTTTTGCCATTTCGATTTTTTTTGGATCAATATCAATGGCAATAACTAAAAATATAAATCAATTTAAACTAAAAAATAAAACAACAAAGAATACTATATTTACCTCTTTGACAAGTAAATGCAAATTGTATTGTATTTCCTCCAACACCACAAAAAGCATCAATAATAACATCACATCGACATCGTTTCGCAATATGTCGTGCAATTTTTTCCGGTGTTACACTAAACCATCCCTCTATTTAAACAAAAAAAAACCAGAATACAATAGATTCCTAAAATAAATTCTTTCTTTAAACGTTTATTCTCTCTTTGTCACTGCAGTAACTATTCGTAGAACGATTGTAGAAAATAAACGAAACATGGAATAAAAATCTTTCAAAACACTGTCAACTGATGAGAAGATTTTTTGCTTTATGTTGCTCCATTTTCGAATAAAGATAAGTTCCAAAATCGATAGGTGTGAGAAAAACTGCCAAAGTTGTTTTTTTTTTGTTTTGAAGAAAATGTTTTTCTATCAATAAACAAGATCTTTGATGGAATCGAATTATGTGATATGGAACAATGACAATGTCTACTAGTGGTATCAATACCATTTGAAAGTCCACCAAAGCTAGGTAGAAAAGAGATGGTAAGATAGAGATTGACTACTATGAGTTTGTCGGAACACCAAATCTTTAATGTTCTAGTGCATACAACTCGGACATAAAATATGCTCACATATTACAATATGGTACAGTAAATCACTCTACAAAATGAAACTTTCACAATGTTTTAAAAATCATTAGATCTATTTATAGGTAAAGTTTCGGATCAAAGATCCGTTATTCGGTCATTCGATAATTGCCTAAAAGTGGGCCAAAAATCAAGTACAATATTTTATTCTAAGAGTTGTTTCATTAGTGGTTCTTCTGAAATCGCTATGGAAAGTTAAAGAGATAATTTAAATCTTATACCTCTATCAAGAACAATGCCTTCATCAAATTTTGAAAAAAGTCGATAACGTTGAAGCCAATATTTTAAAAGTTCTGAATCATTATGAAATTCTTCAGGAATATTTTTCTTATCAAGAATAACTTGTTTTGATTTTGATTTTTTTCCTTTTTGTTTTTTATCTTTAATCATTTTATCATCAACAATCATTTTATCATCATCAATTGATTGTGTATGTAAATGAATAGTTTGTTTAAGAATAAGTCCATATGATAAATGATTCCAATTTTTTGTATAGTCAATTAATGATGATTTTATATTTAATAAATTTGGATTATCTAAATATAGACCAAGATGTTCAAATTGATTTTTTATTTCATTTTGTTCATCAATTGAACCACTATTAGTTTTCATTCGTTTATGTATTTCATCATTATCATCATTAGACTAAAATATAGAAATAAAATTAATTGTATTTAAAAGAAAAGAATTTTTTCTTTACATCAAATTCATTTATAGTTTTTATTCGTAATTCATTTTCATTGTCATTATACGTATTCGTAATATAGTCAACAAATTGTTCATAATCAAGTTCATGATTAAAACAATATTCACGAAGAGCTTTATCATATGTAGATAAATAATGTTCACGCCAAAGATCAGTTAAGGCTTGTTCCGATTGAATATTTGTTAATGAATCATCTGATGAATGTGATGTATCATGTCCATCAGAATGATTATGAATATCTGAATTTGTTGTCCATGTATTTGTTGCCAATTGATAACCATCACGATTCCAATATTCAAGCCAATCATCTAATGCATTTTTAAATAAATCATTATTAGTTAATTGAGTATTTTCAAGTAATGAATCATCTATGAATAAATAAAAGTTTAGTTGAACATAAATAGCTTTATTCTGTTTACCTGTTGTTTGTTCATTCGATAATGATCGTAAACGTGTTTGATGATGAGGTTTCGATCGTTCAATCTATAACATGAGATAAATTCATGTAACTTTGTAGACAAATAATCTAAGATATCTCCCGTCATTTTTGAATTTTTCTGATTCTTGACAAAAGTACAACTAACCAGGCGAAAATTTTTTAACCACAGATAGAGCAACTAAAATTGTTTGAGGAAAACATTTCAAAGAGATTTTTATGAGGAAACTTCAGTTTTTCATGGGACCGCATCCTATTGCAGTACGACCTGTATCGAATTTCTTTGAAAACACTTAAGACCACATTTCACAGAAAGTTTGAGTTTTTTTGGAAACCTTAGCTTTTGTTTTGTCATGAGAAAAATATCTGAATCTTTTGGACCCAAAATTGGAGATTTGGCTTTTAGAATTATATAGAATCGGACCCAAAAATCACAAATGAAAGCGGCTGATTCTATCTCTCAATAATACTTTCAAATATCTTTGATGAAAATTTCAGCCTGAACATTTGTACCGTCTTCGAGAATTAGAAATAATCACAAAAGACAGGAAGAGAGAAAGAGAGAGATGCCATTAATTACCAATGACGATGTAAATGAAGTTGGTAAACCCATGGCTTTCATAGCTAATCCTTCTTCGTCGAGTTCTTCATCTTCTAAAATATAGAAATAGAGTTTGAAAATTTAATTGCATCTAAAAGACAAGTAATTGACTGTACAACTTTCAATTCAACTAAAATGTAGAAACGTAAAATTATTATACACTATTCAAAACCAATTAGTTTTTAATGTTGATTTAACTAGAGTGTGTGCAGACAGCTACAGAGATTGGTGAATCAATGACAAAGATAAGATGCTTTTCTCTAGTCAAAACCTTCGTGACTTTTATCGTGAACAACTGAGTTTGATCTCGTCTTGGCGCGCATACAATTGAACAGATCGATCACACCGAAAAAAAGGCCAAGCCTCCGTGAATGACTTGGTGTGAGTCTCAGAAATATCCATATTCACAAATACAAGTGAAATCCATATAGAAAAATTTTAACCAATTGAATATTATTTATTTTCAGTAAGTTCATAACAATTTTACGTTTCGATACTTTAAACTTAACTACTTGATTGAAGAATAGACGAGTGAACTAGTTCTCTTTTAAAGCAACTAAATTTTTAAAAACCAACTCCGATATAAGTAAATTCATATTTTTGTTTAGTTGAATAAAATTAAAAGTTATCTAGATCATAAAAAAAAACAAATTCTTATTTACTTTGCTCTTTGTCAACATCAAGTTCTTCCATTTTATCTGTAATTTGTTCCAATATTGGTTTGTTTGGTTTATCACTCATACTTGATTTTAAAAGATGAATATCACTAAAAAATTGTTCTTATAAATAAAACAAATAAAATATTTATTTTTCAAACTACTTGAGAAGAACACGTGAAAGAGAAAATTTCACATTATGTTTTTCCGGTTTATTTAAATCTACAGAAATATTTGCAATAACACCTGAACCACTTCGAACCATCGGTTTTTTTTTTTATCTGAAAAAAAAAAATAAAATCTATTAAATTTTCCAAAAACAGAAAAACAAAACAATAGAATATATTTCTATTTATATTAGAAGAAAATAATTAAAATAACAATTAAGAAAAAAAGAATAACAGCAATAGCAAATAAACATGTATGCCCCCCGACACCATTCGTTGATGTTCGAATAAAAGTTTTTGTTTGATTTGTTAGACTTTCTACATGACTTTGACTATTTACCATACCTGTTTCAAGATTATCCAAAACACGTATATGATCATCAATTTCAAAATTAATATTTTGTGTTAACTTTTTTAATGATATTATTGAATGATGAATATCTTCAAGATGTTCATCTTGTTTACGAATAATATGATCTTCATTTTTTTCATCATCTAGTGCTTGATCAAGATGAATTATTTCCATTTGACTTTCTTTTTTTATTGGTTGAATTTTATTTGTATAATAATCATATTGTAATTTCATACGTTGAATAAAATCTTCACGTTCATCAGATGATGGTAAAAGAACTGTTGCAGTATTAATTATGTTTGAATTAGAAGATAATAATGGTTCTTCGTTTTCTTTTGTATAACTAACTGTAAAATTTTTTTGTGTTGGATCTTTAATAGATATTTGAGTATTGGGTTTTTGTTGTATAAATTTCGTATTTTCTTCATTGAAACTATTTTCATTTTCTGATAAATTTAATAAATGAGGAGAACTTCGATTAGATGTGATATTTACAGCATGATTTTCAAGGCTAGATTTTGAATCGATTAATTGATTTACTTTGTGTAAATCGTCAAGTGTACATGATATATGATTAAAGATTTGATTAAGTTCTTGTTGATCATAATAGGATGAATTATAGATATTTTGAACACGTTGAAACGCTTGTTCAATATCTCGTTGAAGATAAATGAACGTATCGATTGCAGTACTCATGCCATGTACATCTGAAATAATAAAGACGATTGTTAAATTTATGTTAGCTCACGATCGTCATTTCTTGATTTGTTGTACATTATAAAAAAAAATATATCATAAAAAAAACACTATTGTTTATGGAAGTCATTTCGTTGTTGCAGTTTCCATTGAACTAGTTAATGAAACTATCACACGCAATGACGATGCTCGTGTTGGATCCCCAACTAACATTTCTGTGCCATTGGTTAATCCAAGTTCTTAAAATGAAAGAAGTTATTATCAATGAAATAGCAAGAAAAATATTGTTTCAACCTTGTAATGTCATCCTGAGATGAGGTGTCGTTTCTTGGCGCATTTGTTCTGTACTTGTCATGTATAAAGTCTTCAAATTTCCATGAATTGACGCCAAGATTAATGGAGCAGTTAATTGACTAAATAACAAAATTTGATTTTTAGACTTAAAAATCAAAACAATATTTTGTTTTTCTTTTTTATCTTACTATTTTTCAATAATTAAATCAACAAGTTCTTGAAATTTTGCTGTTTCATTCATCTGTATGCGTACAGGAACATTTGAACATACTGGACAATCATCTCTTTTTTCAGGTGGATATGTAAGCATATATATTCCTTCAATATCATTAAACATGGTATAATTATTCATAAGCATAACCGATCTATTTAAATAAAAAGAAACAATAAATCCTTTTTTTCTGAAAGACAAAAATAAATAAGAAACATACGAAGTAGCTAATTTAAAAACTTCTGTTGCACAAATCGATGCAATAACAGCATTTGTTGATGCAACAGCTGGTATAATACGCTTAACAACACCTTGTGTAAATCGAAAATTAATACCAGTTATATTATGATCATGAGCTCGTTTTGTTGCATGTTCAACTATCCATTGAATATGTTCAACACTATCACCATCGATATTAACATCTTGAAAATAAAAAAAAAACTGAAAATTTTTCTATTCATTATTTTTCAACTATTCAACCTGGACCAAATGGTTGTTCTTTCGGCCAAAGAAGACTTGTAACCCATTCAACACAATGTTCAGGTAAACGTGGATTATTGGCAATTGTACATTGAGGAAAATTAACCTTATTATAAAAATGTTTTATTTAAAATAAAGTGCAAAAGTCTTGATATAATATATTCGACCAACAAGATCAAACACCTATCAGTAAGTTTTGTGAAAAAAAAACCCAAAATTATGTTTGTAAAAAACAAAATAGTAATTTTGGCCTAGTACTTAAGTTGTATCTTGAAACAATTTCAATTCAACATTATTTCTACAGCATTGTATTAAATATTACAATAAACGAAATCTTAATTATGTATTTCCGCTCAAGAGCTAGTATCTATGGAACTCGGCATTGATCGAAAAGTGGCTGTTTTGAAAAACTGTTCATACTATTCATCATGTAAATTAAAATAGAAAAGTAAAAAGTACGCTATTAGCGACTTGTCATAGAAAAATTAAAAAGTACTTGAGAAAATTCTAACTAGCAAAGTACGTACTTTATGATATACGATAATACTAACATTCTAACAGAGATCAAACATAAGTTAAGAGACAAACACAAAAAAAAAGGTATAGTAACATTTTTTTTTCAATTAGCAACTGTAAATAATAAATCATCGAAGTACTCTATAAAAATCAAAGCATCATGCTAATCTCGTTTACCAAGATTATCCATAGAACATTGAATTATAATGAAGTAGTTAGCGATTTCGAGTCACTTAAATCTACGAAAGATGAAACAGCTTTAGCCATGAAAATAGAACTTAAATTGTATAATAGTTGTTTGTCGAAGTCTTTTAAGTAATCTATATCAGGTATTAATTTATAACTAGAGCCCATCAAGTCCTACCCGGACCCAGTGAAAATCGAATCCAGAGAGTCTTGAACTCGATAGACTCTATTTATCACCATTACTACTCGTTGCAAAGCCAAACTAGTAGAGTTATAAAAAAAAATGACAATGAACTGTAGCTGCTTAGTTTCACCATTTTTCCTGTATGCTTTATGAAGAAAACTGACGAGAGAACTTCTTTAATAGCCACCCGGCCCCAGTTTTAATGTTTTATTGCCTCTAGATACTAGAGAGTGTTGTAAAAAAAAAACCTGAAAAGCTTTGGGTTTCTATTGAGATTTGACTAAGCTATCGAATTTTTTTGTGAAAGATTCCAGGTTTTCGAAAAAATCGTATTTTCGACTTTTGATCTGAAATTTTGTGCATATAAAGAACGCAACCATCCTAGCTTCTATAAAAAATTCAGGAGTTTTGAACAAAGTATCTTCGAGATATGAGACTATTAAGATATAAAACATTTTTCTTGAATAGTGTATATCATATGCATTTTTTGAAAGCTTTCATATCTGAAAGAGACTTTGTTCAAAACTTCAGAATTCTATAAACGAAAAATTATGAAAACTAGAACGGGTTATCTAAAGAAGCTTCCTCGTGAACCATTAAAAATAGTTGCGCCTTTTGAATTTGATACGTTTCAATAGAAATACAAAACTGATCAAAATATTATTCCGAACAGCGCAAAAAGGCCTGATTCTAACTAATTGTATTTGACTAGTTAACTATTCGGTATCAAATTTTGTATACTATATGTTGTAGTTGAAAACAAATATATTTTACTTGTGGAGGAAATAAATCCAATGTACATTCAATACAACTAGTATATCCATGCATGATAACTCGTGCATTGCCTTTGAATCCTTCTGTGCCACCATCAAGAAGAGGTATTATTGAAGATGGTATAACTTGATTGTTTTCGTCATATTCGAGCATACTAACCTAATATGAAAAAAAGTTGATTTCAAAATTTTGACTTTTATTTGTTGTTATCTTACTAGCATACTATTGATCCATCGACGAGCAACAACAGAATCTAGACCACAAACAATAATTCGAAACTCTAAAAGAATCAAAATAAACATATATAATGTTTAAAAGAAATAAAAAGTTACGAGAATAAAATGATGAATCAAAGTCTTGTATTTTCTTCATATATCTACAAAAAAAAAGAAACAAGTTTTAATATCATAGGTGTTTATTAAAAATTATTCACATACGGTGTAACTTTACAAGTTGGTATACGATTCATAATAAATTTTGCAGCAACTTCAGCTTTTGATTTACCTATATCAGCTTTACTGAAGAAAAAAAAGAATATATATATAATATAAAGGTTTCTTTTTTGTTTTCTTTTAATATTTTTTAACTTACGTGAATAAAAATTGACGATTTAAATTAGCTAAATCAACTGTATCCATATCAATTATATCAATTTGACAGAAACCCATTAAAGCCTAATAGAAAATACAAAAAAAAAATTATTTTAATAGAAATTTTTTTTTTTTTTGTTATTTTATACCAAATCTTTTAATAATTCACAACCCAAACCGCCCGCACCAATAATTAATATTCTAACAGATTCAATAGCTGTTAAAAGCTAAAATTAATAAATTATTATAAATTATTATGCAATTATTTAGATTATAATAAACCTCAGTAGATGGTTCAAAATTTGGATCTTTAAAAGGTCCAGCTCGTTCAAGAATACGACGGAGATGAATCCATCGTTGTTTTGTTGTCGAATCATCATTTGGAATCGTCATCTAGAACATATATAGAATGAAATGATTTCTACATCTTATCTAGATATTCATTCTATGTTTTGTTTTCTTTTTCGATTGAGTCAAAAGAGAAATGGGTAAAATAAATACCAAAGAAATACTTGTCGACCAATGAGGATATAATGTCACATGTGGAAACGATGAGTCATCATCTATAGTGCCCGACCCGACCAACTTTCTCGTGCTTCTTACATGCAAAAATAATGAATTAAAATTTTTCACTTATATGATGATTTTTTTTTCTAATTATGTTTATTAGAAATATTGAACAAGTTCAATAATATTTTTTTTTAATTTTTTTAATCATAAAAAAATAAATAAGTATAAGAGAATATGTGTCTGAATATAATTAAAATATAATTTTCAAGAAGTCAAGATTGTAGAATTTTTAAAATATGAAAACTAATGTGTAAAATATAAATTATTATCTTATTAATCTTTTGAATATATTGAATAAAAAAAAAATATTTATCAAATGATCAAGCATTTGTATGAATAAATGAGATTTAAATAAATAATTTTAATTTTCATGGAAATTATTAAGAGAAAAGTAACATTTTATGCAGCATATTTTACGTAACTATTAAATCTCTATATTGTTATGCTTTACTTATATATAAACAAACTCATTCTTTAACAAAAAAACATCAATTTTTATTTTGTGCATTTTGGTTTGAAAAGACTTCGAATAGAGACAATACTTTTGAAAAATCAATAGTACATTCTACAGGCAACTTTTGAAGCTACAAAATCCCGTTGCAAAGATTTATCTGAACATGTCTAGGCTTTTCAAAAAAGCCGATTTACTTTTATGAGCAATATAATGAAATACAAAAAAATGTTTTTATAACTGAATGAAATGTTCAAAACCAATTTTAAACGGTACAAATCCTTCTTCAGAAACTCTAGAAAATCGATTTTTAAGAGAAAGTTTTTTTGAAATCCAATCTTGCTGATTTTTTCAGTCATGTCGTAGAGTCTACAGTGAAATTTTCGAATTTCCTCTCATATGGTTAGAGATATATTTGCTAATTACTTTTTAATTAATAATCAGCTGAATGAGTCAATACTTTAATAAAGGTCACTGCTTAAAGAATTTCCTGAGAAAAATAACCCATATAAAAAATTAAAATTTAATGAAAGATGAATATGTCACGTTTTGCCTGAAATAGCTTATAGTTATATATTTTTTAAAAACATTTCGTCACTCAAGAGAAGCTTCGTCTGTTTATTCATAAAAATAATACGAAGAATGCATTGAAATTGTTCCGCATTATGAATCTTGTAGGTTGATTAACGTTTCATGCGTGACAATTTTTCTATACGCAATAGATAGTACGGCATAGATCATACTAAATCTTATTTTATTGATAAATATTAAATAGAAAGACAACTGATACTACTCTGGTCGAAGAATATGGCATCGTATGCGGCCAGTAATACAGAGCGTATGATAACGACACTAAATGGTATAAAATGATTGTTTAGGGTAACATTGAGGTAATAGACAGTGATAGGTAATGATTGATCTGCGTGCTTGCAAAACATGATTACGCATAAGACTCAAATAAAGTATTGTGAATTATCAGCAAGTTTATCGACCATCTCAGCTATTTTGTAAAGAGATTGGCTATTTTCTCAATGTGAAAAGCTAATTTTTTTTATTGATATTTTTATCTCTTAAGTGTTACTCATGCGATAAACTCAAGGAAGAGAAAGTGAAAATTCAGTACTTCACCGTACCTCAAGAATATGTCAAAACTATCTTCAAGAATTTCCTAGATATTTCAAATCGGTTATATCAATATGTGTCACGGGAACATTGTTCTGAGTTCATTTTATTTTTAAGTTTGTCCGATTATGTGATACCCTTATAGTTCAATGAAGTATGGAATTCTAATTTTTTTCTCCTTTGATAAACTGAACACTGAAAATCTATTAATCTATTTCAAACGACTATGTGAGATATTTCTGTTACACAAAAAATCCATGATTCATAACTGATAAGAAAATAAAAAAATGTAAAAAAAGAAACTTTTGCTATTATGAAGTTTTTGATTATCATATCTACAAATATATTTTTCTTTGTTACATATCTAGATAAAATAACTATTATGTCAACGAATACATTAAATGAAAATTTTCACAAATTTCTTAAAAGTAATTGAATAGTTTTGCACAACTTTTTCCTATTAATTTATTAATCAAATATAGCTATTTATGATTGGCCGGAGTCAACAATAAACAAAAATGTTCTTATTCAAATGCTTGAAAAATTATGTCATGAAAACTCTGATTTAGAACATATTTACCAAGAAGTATTAGCACCACAACTAGATCAGCAATCTTCAAATCATAATATCGATGGAAATTCTCTAGTACAACCAACAGAAATGCATACTAAACAACCAGCTGTTCAAAATGTTGTTAAACCATCGAATTTTAGCAATTGTCAATCAACAATAAATGAAGATTCTCATGTTGAAAAAGTATCAAACCCTTTACTAAATATTCTTCCAAGTAATAAATTAGTTAAGGAAGGAAATTTAACTGTTAGAAAAGGTATGGATTTCTTATTTAACAAAACAAAATTTCATATTTATCATTTAAGGTTCTACAATTTTATCACCTTTATTAAAAAGTAAATTTATTCAATTAATAATCGATTTATAATTCGTCGTTGTTTTTTAGAACATGGATCAAAAACAATTGTTTATTGTGAATTATCATACGAATATTGTCATAATGAAAAAATTGTTTATCTAGTTGTTTATGAAAATCGAAAAAGTCGAAAATTTTTATATAAATTTATCATAGATCTTAGTGAGTTACATGAATCAGTTATTTATCAATTTTTGGAAGATATATTCTGCTCATTTAGATTGTACATTTGTTTATGAAAATAAAAGAGATTTTCAATATAAACATGACTCAGGAATTGAAAAAGTAAGATTAAACTAGTTGCGAAATCAGACTATGTCACTAGATACATGTCATACAGAAGCTACCCTATAGATAATCTATTTTGTTCTGCACTAGCCCCGTACATGTAGGAACAGTACAATCTTCTTTTAGGACGTATAATGGTCAAGTGAGCTAATAGATTGTGATTCGATGAAGTTCTAATCTAGTATTAAAATTCGTCGTCATTTTCAATCACTAACAGTAGTAGCCAGAAGAAGACATGTCATATCAGCAACAAGTGCTTTGGTGAAAAGATTATCTAGTTTAACTTGAGTAGTACTTATTCATGAGCATTCAAATTTATCAGTAAAGCCAAATCAATAGCATATTATCTATTCACTCATACGAGAAATTCAAAAAAATGCAGCTTTATGCTTATTTTGTTTACTTTAGGAATGCCAATAAATTATTTTATTGTTCATTTCTTTGGTGCTTGAAAACATGTGATAAGATTCATTAACATGATTTTATTGCCGGATACAAAAGGCATTTTTAGTGTTCTTTTCATTAAATATTTTTATAAGAAAGTGTAGAAAAGTTTAGTAGAGCAAGAAGCTATGTGATGCACTTTTCTTTATTGACATCGAACAGTAATGCATAACGATTGTACTAAAGTTAATTGTCTCCAAAGAAAGAGAAAACTCGTCAATATCAAAGTTTGACTTTCATCAGCTCGGTTTGAGCCATAAAATTTAGGAGTCGGATCATAAAAATTTAACTCATGTCGGACACTAATATTGCAAATGGTTATTGTATAAACAGCATGTCTATTTTATTTGACACTAACTCATATACAAACAAGTTTTTATCTTTGTCAATAATGAATTGAAACTCTGTGCATAAGGTAAAATCCAGTGAGACAAAAAAAATCTCAATAGAATAAATCTTTTCAGACTTTATATACAGAGTTATAGGCATTTTACTAGAATTTTAGCGTCTGGGTTGGTATACACCAACAAAGCGCATGGCAGTATTTCGACTTGAGATTTTGCTTACAACAAGGTCTATTTTGTCAGTTGAAAAGAAGGATTCTAATATCTCAAAAACGAAATATTCTTTTGAGCTGAAGTTTTTAGAGCGCTCTATTGACAAATAGATCTATCTTCGGGCAAAATCTCACGTTACAATTTCAGTAAAATGTCTTTAGCTCTGGATAGAAGATATTGATCAGTTGAAAACATTATCTTGTGAATGATAATGTCCTGAAAAATGTAGGAAAGGACTAAGAAAACCATCCGGTGACGTTCTCTATTCTAAATTTAAATATTTTCATATTTTTAGTTTACAACTGAAACAGGTACTGCAGATACATGGATTTCATCTTTACGTGAAACTTTATCCCGAGAAAATGCCAATGGTAAAAAAATTTCTTAATCTAATCATCATATATTCATTTGTTTTGTGTTATTACTTGAAGAAATTTATGAAAATCCTGACGAAATTACTATTACATCGGTAGTATTCATTTCTGAAAAAAAATCAATATTTAATTACAACATTTGTATATATATATATTCTAGAAACCATCTTGTTCTGAACCAATACTTGATATTCCTAAACGACCGCCACCTCGACCAATAAATTCGATTTCACCTGAAAATATCTATGTTTGTCTGTATGGTCATTGTCGAACAACTAATGACTCTTATGAACTTGAATTTAATTGTGGTGATCTTTTATATATAATCAATAAAGATGGACCAACATTTTATATTGGTCATCAATTAAAACTTCCATTAAATAATTATGAACAATCACCAATAGGTCTTGTTTATAAAAATTATATCAGACCAGCATATGAAAAAGTTCAATAATGAAAAGAATATGACAATGATGATCATTATTATTTTTTCTTTTTTGTGATTTGTGAAATAAAAAATATGAATAAAAATAAATTTTATTAGGCACGTTCAGTCAATGATTTTCGATTTATGGCTGGTTGAATACGAAGAAATGGTTCAACTTGTTTCCAATATGCATATTTATCAAGAGTATTTGGAGATTCAGCAAGATATGTTCGTCCATCAACACGATATGGTGTTACATCCACATGTTCAGGTTCAAAACGATGAATTGTTAAAAGATTTTCAATAGCCTAAATAAATAAAAAATAAATGATATTTAATTTAAAATATTTGACTAACTAAGCAAGCTCGTTCTTCAAGAACATTTCCCCAAATAAATAATTCTGTAAGAGCTGAATTGAATTTAACGGCATCTGCAATACTACACAGACCATCACCTTTTATATTATTTGAACGAATATCAAGACTATAATAGAATTTTACAATATCTAAAAACAGAATAGAAAAGCTTGTATTACCTTCGAAGTTTTGAATTTGATTGAAGTAATGCCGTTGCTAAATGACCAGCACCTTCATTTTCTAATCGATTAAATGCTAAATTAAGTCGAAGAAGGCCACATTTTTCAAGCATTGCTGCTAAATAAACAGCGCTATCACGTGTAATTCGATTGCTAAAAAATATGTCAAGGTTATTTTACGTGCTTAAACATTCATTTAAACACATACCAACTAAGGTCAAGAAAGAGCAATGATTGATTATGTTGCATTTTTTCACAAATCCACATAAAACCTGGATCGCGAATTTCAAATTTTTGAACATGTAATTCTTGTAAAACGTTATTTTTCTAAAGAAAAACTTGTTAGTACAAATTCTTTGAAGTTAAAATGTAAAATACGATGGAACTGTTTGTACGATATACGAGAGTTTCATTTAATATAGGTTTCATTGTATACAAAGCTTATATTTATTGGTAATACATCTCACTGATGAAAGATATAAATTGGAGTAAGAGGTTTTAGACAAGATGTTTGCTCACTTTTGACCCGCTAGGAAGTAGTTCTAAAGCGTCAAAAGCTATAGATCATGACCAGAATATGACTTTAGAAATCTTATGTCATTTTTTATTCAAGAGTAGTGAGGGATAATTTGAAAAATTTGAAAAGTTCTTTTTAATCGTGCAACAAAGAGTCTGTGTTTATTCTAGAAGTCCCTGTCGGAACATGCTAATAATTATCGGAGTCAGTCACTTTGTAGATTGAACACTTCCCTACAAAACATAATATTGAACTAAGTTGCAGCATTTACTCAATCATTTTTCAAGGGCTCTTGTCAATGTCAAACGCGTGTCAATTTTTCAAAAATGAGTATTCAAGAAAAACGAAAAAATGAGCTGTCTTGTCGAAAGACTTTAAATGATGCAGTTTGTAGAGTGGTTTCTGATTAAAACTCATATTTTTTCGTGCTTTTTAAAGATTATACTATTACTCTCGAGCAAAATTCCTATATTCAAGCACATATTCATAACTTCTAACTAGTCAGAAATACTTTCCGATCATTCATAGTATTGCCACGAGTAAGAACGAATATTAAAGGACAACTATCATACAAATCCTGCAGCTCGATTTCATCTTGCGATTATGTCTGTAACGATGAGCAGACGTTGCTAAGATGTTTATCACGTGTGTAGCGGAATGAAGCTGGGTCCAAATTTATACCTCTATACTTCAACACTCTGTTAAGCTCAGATTTTACACAGTTTCAATCTTTTTCAAATAAATATTTACCTCAAGCATATGTGCAATATGAATAGCAATATCATCCATCCAATTTGAATGTTGATGTTGTGGTATTGGACGACTTAAATCAATTGATTTTAAACTTGGATTATAACGTAGAATAGTCAATAATGCTATTAAACTATCCATTTCCTTAGAAAGAACATTTTTTATTTTTATACTGAAAAGAATCAATAAAAGTTAATTTTGTTGACATACTAAATCACAATTTGCTAAATTAAGTTGTTCAAGAGTAATATTGATTTGAAGTGTTTCAGCAAATGCCATGCCACCACCTTTTCCAATACTATTATCAGCAAGTGATAATGATGTTAATGTTGTATTGACCTGTTTTTTTTTTTTGATTTATTAAAATAAGAAAACTTCTATTTATTTACATGTGTTAAAGTTAAATGTACCTTTAGAGCATTAGATAAACTTTGAGCACCTTTTCGATGTATATCATTTCCTTGTAAATTAAGAATCAATACATATTGATCATTCTACACATAGAAAGAGTCCTTTTTATTTCTCAATAGATATGTATAAAATTTACTGTTAAATAATCAGCGATAAGTCCAGCACCTTCATCTGTAATACGATTGTATCTGATAACGAATAATGATAAATTACAATGAACAGAAAATCTATTTCTATTGTTTGATATTTACCGAAGATCGAGGTGAGTAATCATTGTAGCAGTTTTCAATGCTTCAAAGATATGTGGAATATCATTATCTTGTATACGAAACTTTGCTAATGTTGGTTGATTACCATTTAAAGGTAATATACGATCATAATTTCTAAGAAAAAAATAATAATAAGATTCTACTATGATAGAAAAAAAATGATGAGATGTATTTACTGATAAGCATATTCATCAATGTAACGTAAAGAGCGTTCACGTAAATTCGTTAATGTTTCGACAATACCTTGATTTGGACGTTGTTTAGTTTTTATTGATGCTTGTTCATATTCTTTTTTTATTTCTTTGAGCATAGTTTCGTTAGAATTTCAATCAAATTCTGCTATAAAATATCTTGATGCGAAAATGCAGCCATTAGTAAAATGATTATACATGGCAATGAACCTCTTTTGATGTCTTATAAAAGGCAAGATGCCACTACAAAAAAAAGTTAAATAGAATAAATAATTTTATTTGGATATAGATGTTCTACATCAAGGTTAAATAAAATAAACTTTTGATTTAGTTTTCGAATCATTTAAAATAATAAACAAGCACGTGATAGTAATTTTGTTAGATTCTCCTTGCTCATTTCTGCCAACCAGATCACATTCCATGTTTAACTCTTTTCAATCCAGTTTTGTTTATGACGAACTGAACGTATGTGTTATGCCATATAACTCAAACGAATACTTTGTTTAAAAATGCAAATAAATATTTGAATTGAAAATATAATTAATCCTGAATTTCACTAGTTAGATGTTGAATTCGATTGTACATCAAATGACAATACTTTCTAGTAACACGGTTGCGGAGTCGCCCTTGAAAAAAAAAGAAAGTTCTTTTTTTGCAATTCAATTTTTTATGATCTAATACAATCTGTTAAAAAAAACAAAATATAGCAAAACAAGCAGCATGACAAGCTCTACAGTTTACAAGAGACAGCTTATTATATCGTGACACTTTTTGTTTTCAAAATGGACTAAATTCTGAGTGACTAATTTTTGACATGTCGAAAAAAAATTTTAAAAATATTAGCTGCATAGAAATTTACACATTTTGAAAACAAAAAGTATAACTATGTAATAAGCTTTTCTTTACAAATCGTAGAGCTTTTCACGTTGCTTCTTGTGGTGTATTTTCTTTTCTTTTTAATAAAGCATATTAGGTGATGGAAAGATGAAATAAGAAAAAAACGAATTCATAGTGTATCAAAAAATTCTTTTTTTCGAAGAATCAATAATTAGTGACTCAGATTGGAGTCCATTTTGAAAACAAAAAGTGTAACTATATAATAAGCTGTACTTTGTAAATCATAGAGGTTTTCATACTACACCTTGTGGTATATTTTGTTTTTTAACAGATCGTGTCAGGTCATAAAAAATTGAATTGTAAAAAAGAACTTTCTTTTTTCCAAGGATCATCCTTTGGAAGCATTTTTGTATGTGTCCACAAAAAATAATCAGTTGGAAACAAACAGAAATGGAAAGTCATATTTTCCGCTCTAGTTCCTCAAACATAAAGTAATTTTTGAAAAAACAAAAGTGAAATTAAAAAATCGAGCTTGCAGTTTTCCTTCTATTAGAAGACCTTCACTAGAGCAAAAGAAAAAGAACCAAGAGCAGTCCACGGAAAGTTCCATCTCACATAAATTTTGATATTCAACAACTCAAAGACAAATCTCAACTTACTGACGTACTCTTTACTCATGTACAAGTGAAACTTGAATTACTTCAGTTTCTCTGATTGGATGATAATAATGAGGAAGAAACAACGATCATCAGCCTGGTTCAAAAGCTATGACAAAGATTTGATTTCGTACATTACTTTTTTTCAACGATAGAATGTAGTCAACACATTAAAAAAAATACTTTAACAACACTACTAATCTGTTCAGCTACACTGACTGAAATATTGCTTTCGAAAATTCACAATTACACTCATATTCACTCAGTTTATATTCATTTTACTACTTCTGAGAATAAAAAAAGCTTTTCAAGAATCATCTGCAAAATATCAAAAAGTAACTTTGAATTCTACATTCGATCATTATCTAAGTTGACGAATATAAGAATATGTTGTTTCGAGATAAGACATGTTTATAGAAATTCTGAAGACCTAATCTTTTCGATCTATTTGATCAAACAGAGAATATAACAGATGACTATGTATCTTGGTGAACGGAATATATTGACTTTGTTAAATACCACTTTCGAAATTGCTGAAAGCTATTTTAAAATATTAGTGCATATAATTAAAAGTTTTTTGTAAGACCACTAGTAATAATCCACAGATATTAAGTTAATTGAATAAGTTTGAAGCCAATTATCAATTAAAGAAAGCTATACGATGGTATACTCGTCCATCATTTTTATTTTCTATTATGAATCAAGCCTTTCGTCAGCGAAATATTGATTTAAGATTCTTATTTGTACTCTTTTTATCGCATACCTACAAAAGATTAAATGATAGATTCAGAATTAATAGAGTCCTAACCGAGGAGTATGGCCTAATAAACCCCATGAGCGAATATCAGCAGGGATTGTCGTCGGAAGAGAGTTCCATATACAGTATTTCAGGTCGAACTGCTGGTTCTTGGCTGAATAACTTTCCTTGAAAATATCATCAATCGGTGCAGCATCCAATTCTGCTTGTAACCTAGATCTAGGAGCGAATATCAGTAGCAAAAACTCAAATCTGCTGCTAACTTTCCTTACATATTTAGTAATCGAAGCAATCGGCAATCATATTGAAGTCGTTCATGCATTAATTGAGGGAAGTCCACAGGTTAGCATTAAACAAATAGTATGTGAAACTGGCTTGTCTTATGGCATTATTATCAAGGTCATTGATGATGAATTGAATTTGAAAAAGTTGTGTGCAACATGGCTACCGAATTAGTTAACCAAAAAATGCAAACAATAGCGGATTAGCATACGTCAACAAAATGTTGTCGGATTAGAAATGGGTCAAAAGCACCTATGTGATATTATTATAGGGGAAAAAACATGAATCTATCAGTGCAGCATTGATTCGAAAGAATAAATATGACATGATGCTCTAAGGACGCAAGGCCAACAGTAGCAGTCAGGTGAAACCAATACGAACACAAGAACATATGTGTCATCTTCTATAGCCTAACAGGGTCGAAGTTTATGCACACGGTTGAATCCGGCAGCATAACATATGACGACAACTGCCAAGACAATTGTGCGAAACCTTTGTTTTACAATATCAAAAAAGAGAGACCAAAGTCTAGTTTGCATGCTATAAAGTTTATCATGACCATATACAACGTATGAAAGCGAAACATATCAAAACATTCTTCCAGAACAATGACGCGATTATGATGCCTCATCCACGCTATTCTCCTAACTTGGCATCAGCTGATTTTTGGTTATTTTGTTATTTGAAATGGCAATTAGACAGCTGTTATGATTCCAAAGTTTTCTAAGAATGTGTAACAAATGAGTTTCAAAAGGCAATATTTACAAATGGTTTAGTCGAATAAAATTCCGTATAACAAATAAGAGCAAGCTTTTTAAACATGTAATGAAATAAGGTTTTTGTAGATATCATTTATTCAATAAGAGCGTACGTGTTCTGAGAACTTTTAAATCACTGTACGTATATTATACAAGCGATAACCTGTTATTGTTTCTTTAGAATAAAGAATGAAAAGGAAGAAAACCTATGTAATAACAAGACCGTGGTAAATTCCTTAAATAATTTATTTTTTCTGAAAAATAAATTATTCTGTTGTCTTTTTTTCTGATAATAAAGACTGTATTTATCTTTACATTCTAATGGTGGATGCTTATTTTTTCGCTTAACATAGTAAAAGTCATTCAACATTCATAAACAAGAGACAGATAGCATAATTTACATTTTCTCATACATACACGAACATACTTTTTTTGTTACTGATTGAAATATATTATGATAACAAATTTTGAACTGAAACCTACTACGCTTTATTTTTTTAGTCATATACTAAGACTACAATGTGAATTGCTCCATATTATGGTGTTCTGTAAAAAAGTGATAAGACTTTCGTATTAGGTATCATGCAAAGAAATTACAAAAACGCTTAGATCAATGTCTATCATAGAGCGCCACCTTTTTGAGTATTTTGTATGAAGTAGATTGAATGCATTTTATGCAATGGCAATTTTGCATGTGTACATGCAAAGAGTGAGTGAGATGAGGAGCTTATCTATGAAACTAGTAGTTAGTGGTATATATTCACCTCTTTTCTTCTTTTTTTTCCTTTATGTTTGTCAAAGTAATTGATGATAAGCGTCCACTTTACTTTTTGATAATATTTAAATTCTGAAAATATATTGTATACATTCTCTTTTAAAAATAATTTTCATATTATTTTAAGATAATTCCATTTAACTATGAGTTCAAATACAAAAAAAGTATTTAGTGTAAATGGTATGACATGTCAATCATGCGTCAAAAATATAGAACGTAATGTTGGCAAAATCGACGGAGTTAAATCAGTGCAAGTAAGGAGGCTCATACATATATATATATAATATAAAAATTGTTGGTGTATTTTCAATTTCTCTACTAGGTATCATTGGATGATAAGGAAGCACATGTTGAATTTGATAGTGGCAAAACGTCAGAACAAGCTGTTATTGACAAGATTACTGGTTTAGGATTTCAAGCTCAATTAAAATGAAATTATCAATATTATTCTACAAACTTTAAAATTTCGATCAATTTTCACTTCCTTTTTTTTCTTTTTGCATCAATAAACAGAAAAAAAGGTTTTGATATATAAATTTTGCCATTAAAATGCTTTAAATTGACGTGTAATATATATATATATATATATTCTAAAATCGACGATTCAATATTTATTATATGACACATATTAAATATTTGTGATTGATTCATCATGTATTTCATGAAATATTTTATTGCTTGGTCATGCTAACTGTCAAGATACGTTAATAACTTCCTCTGTCTCTCTCTTTCTTTCATATTTAGATATTTGTTATGAATCGTCATCAGATAACTCTCAATGAACCAGTATCATCTTTGAAATGCTCTACGACTGTATTGCTTGAAGATAAGAAAATTGATGTCGCATCACCTAGTGATGAAACAATGACAAATTTCAATAATCTTTGTCAATGCCAAAGATCACATTTCTCTCGGAAAACTGATATCAAACTTTCATCAATGAAGCTTTCTTATGATAATATGGGATATGGATAGATTAATTAATCTTAATGATATTCGAACATATTTATCAAATCTTTTCATCGTAAAGTATTTTTCATATGCTTAATGTTTGAAAAATTAAATCTATTTCATAAATGATTATTTTAATCAACTACTTTATTAAAGATGTTCATGCAAACAGAAATCTATTTTTTGAATGCATACTATACACAAATTATTGACAAAAAGAAAATACAATCATGTTCATATGGAAAAACACTATAAACGGATTATTTATGTAAATTTTTTCGACAAAACCACTTTTTCTTTCTGATAGACAATGATTGACTCTTAAAAGTATTCAATATGAATAACCATAGAATTCTTATTATCAGTTGCTATAATATATCAATAGATAATCTTGAAATATTAATATGCGATACATTAAGTAAATATACTCTATTCGTCAATCTTCATCTTGATGATCTTTTTTTTTTCCGGTAATATTCGTTTCTGCGATAAGATTCACAACTTGATTTCAGCGAAAGACATTAATATGAATTCAATTACTTGATACTAAAGAAAACCTGAAGGTCTTCCAATCCTTTTTCTATTGGTTTTGCTTTTTAAAAGAGCTTAGTTTAGTGTTTGTTTGCTATTAAAAAATTAAAAGATCGTTGTAACCTGTAGAAAATTTTCAAAACATAATGAATACTTCTTTTTAAATAAAAAAAGAAATTTTATCTTTTATTTTATCTTCTGCATAAGTAATTGTTCATTGAATATTTGCAAAATAAATAGAAAAAAGAAGCAGCTTTCGAATATTATTCTTCGGAAGTTTTTCTAGTGCGTATTATGTTAATTATTAAAAACAAACAATTTTGCCACACATATTTATTATGTATAATAATTGTAAATTTACAAATGAATGAGCAACGTTACTTTACTAATCTAAATATACGATTATCTTATTCTCCTTTTTGATATTAATAGTTTTGTTTTTATAAACAATCCTCATTCTAATGAATACTGTTCTACTATTTGTTTGCTATTATAAAATTATTTCTCTAATGTTAATCAAATTGAATGTATCTGATCAAGATATTCTATGATTAAATTGAATTGAAATATTATGGATGATCATTGTAAACACAAGAACTTCTCCTCTTATGTTATACGGCGTTGATTCTTGGGTTTTGGCGGTATTATACGATTGCATGTATATAATAAATGACCTGTACCGATGCCAAAAATAATGGCAAGAAAGAGATACACATTAAATGTCATTACTATAAGCATTAGTATATAACCAAGTATTAACTGAATGGCATATAGTATACTATGTAGAGCACGTTCAGAATATCGTGGAGGAATTCTTCAAAAGAACAATATATGATGCATGTCATATCATATAGTTTTTCTTTTTACGTTTTTACTTTTGTTTAATATGACGAGTCGATTCAATTGTTTCAATATTCATGCATTCTAATTCAGGTTCGTTTCTTTCGTTGGAACTTCTACAAGAGATAATTGAATATTATTAAAATTCAATAATTTTTTTTTTTTACAGACATAGGTCTGTCGATTAATTGTTTTTCTTCTAAATAGAGACGAATTTCTCTAATTTCTTCGTATAAAATACCCAAAATAAATATAAAAATCCATGAGCAAATAAAAACTAAAAAAGATAAAAGCATACAATATATTCAACAAATTCATTGTCAAAAGCTTTACTTGAAAGAGATGTTACTTTCCATGATTCAAATAAAATTGTTTCAATAAAATCTGTATGAAAATACATCTAAATAATAATGATATTCGTCGTCAAATACAAATACATATGAACTATAATTTTGATTACTTTCATCATTGAATAATCATCATTTGTTTTATGACAATTGTGTTTCATAGTATTCGACTCTTTTTTAGAGGCATCCATATGATGATGGTAATGATTTGTGTCATGAGAATCATTAATCAAGTTTTGTACACCACTACGATTCATATTGGATTACAAAGTCTTTATTCTCTTCACTTATAATAAGGTTTGAAGTACGTCTGTATATATGTAAGTAGTGTAAATCTGTGCGAGAAAGATAGAAAACAAAACCCTTGAAATAAATGCATTTTATATTGCATCATAAATACGATAAGAGAAAGAAAAAGCAATTATAGTATTTGCAGAAGAACAATAATCTATTTATTGTTATATTGTCCTGGTCTACTTGTTTAAAAATTATTTATCGTTTTAACAAGAGAACGACTTGAACTCATACCTGCGTTTTGAGCTCAAATTGGTTCAACAAGGAGGTCTCAGTAGGAAGTAGAAAAATCTTAAAAGAGTTCGTGCTTCTCGGGAGCTAAAATATGATAGTTTTACTGAAGTTTTGATTCAGCTTTCGGTGCTTAAGGAAAAATTAAATAGCGGTGTTCTGATCTAAAATTTTGGCTCATACAAAGGTCAAATGATTAGTAAAATATTCTGAAAGTTTCAGTCGAGACGAATGTTCCTTTGTCGAGATATTAAATTTTCAAGTTAATTGGATTTATATCACAAACGAACATTTTTTTCGGAAATTCATATCTTGACGAAGGAACATTCTTTTCGACTGAAACTTTCAGGATATTTTACTAGTCATTCAACTTTTTTATGGGCAAAAATTCAGATAGAAACAGCTTTATTTGATTTTTAGACGATCCTGAAAGCGGCTTCGAAAATTCAGTAAAACGATGGAATTTTGGCTCTAGAGGCTCATGAGTACAAACTCTTTTAAGATTTTACTAGTTCTTACCGAGATCTCCTTATGAATCCAATATGAGCTCAAACGGCAAGTATTAGTTCAGATAGTTCCTTCATTAATTTCTATCTAGGCATTTCGAGTAGATGTCATACTCTCAAATATGTAACTGAAACTAGAGACCTGCATCAGAATCAATCAAACGTTTCACTAATAATTCAGATTTAACGCAGAGGCTTGGTTTTGAGTTGTAACTTTTATCCTTAGATACTTATTGGAGGAAGTGATGTTTTCAGAAATCAATATATATCTCTTTGAGTTTTACGTCCATGACAAGAAGTCGAAGCCAATCTTGACTACGATTTCTCCTCAGCTTTGTAAAGTCCTGAGGAGACGAGAATCGAACCGTCAAAAAAATATCAGTTTGCATAATGAATATCAAAGAATAAAACTTACTGTTCAAGAAAACCTATATTATTTAGTCTACTTTACTCGTTGGTTTTTTTAAAGACCTCTGATTGTTACTAGAAATGACTTGGATGTAGATCTCTCACTGTAACTGTCGAAGATTAATCAAGTCATCTCACTTGATGATTGATTATCAATATTATTTTTCTTGATTTTAGTTTTTACTTTCGAACGAAAATCGAGAACGATCATCAACATCAATAATGAACCAATTATTTTAAAAAAATACAACTCATAACTAATATTTCTATTCTTCAACTCTTCTTGATTTAACTATGAGAAGATATTTATCTGTTATCATCTTATCTGTCGTGTTCAAGTTTTTTTTTTCTTTCTTTCTTTCTAACCTTTTTATTTGCTTTTATCTGTTGAGTAGAGTAAAGAAAGAAAGAGAGAAAGAAAGAGCACATCGTTTTTATTTCGAGCACAAAGAACAGAATTGATTCATGTTAGCTGATCTAATCTATTCGGCTGAAACCAGTACATTGAAAAACATAGATACTACCAAACAAACAAAAATATAGTATACTATAACAGGCATCAATAGCAGATTTTCTAAGCTCTACATGAAAAGTTGTCGTATGTTTCTCAATCAAACAATTGCTATCACCTAAACTAGTCACTACAATATAACACAATTTATGAGTAAAAAAAATATGTACTGATCATATTAATTTCGAGACAATTTTTAGTAAAAAACTAATAGAACTCTGTTGAATCATCTAATTATATTATTAATTGATTATGATGAAAACAATTCTTAATTGTTTGTCCTAGCCAAGGTTTTTATTCAATGATAAATATTTCATATTTGGTTTACAAAAAACAGCAATGAAATAAAATGTGTCTATAAAAGTTTATCATAAATTAAAACAAGTCACATTTTCATTTATAACGCTGTTACTTGTAACTCTATTTCTTCTTCATTATTTTGATTAGATGTTTGTTCATCATTAAGAAATAGTGTTGCTTTTTTCTTCTCTTCCATAACAGCATTTTTCACAGCTGATATGGACTCCATAACAATTTGTGATAATCGACTATTTTTAAAACTTGATAGAATACTTGATTTTGATCGATTTACTGGTAAATTATCAATACCACGATGAACAATAATTCCAGTTGATTTATTTAATAACCATTGACGATACCGAACATCTCTTTCATATTTATTCATTTTTGGCTTTTTAAAATAACGTAAAAGTAATGATGAAATAACAACACTAACAGATGATAGTGCCATTGCTGCTGATGCCATCCATGGCATAATTTTAAAACCGGCTGGAAGAAGTACACCTAAAAAATAATGGTTAAAAAATATTTTCTGCAAATTCATTTTATTACTATACCAGCTGCAATTGGGATACCGACTAAATTGTATACAGTAGCAAACATAAAATTAATTCGAATTCGCCATACCGTCTTTTTTGAGAGCATAATAGCAGCAACAACATCGAAAAGTTCATCACGAACTAATACGATTGAAGCTGCTTCAACAGCAACATCTGCACCAGTACCAACAGCTATTCCAACATCAGCACGAGCTAATGCTGGTGAATCATTAATGCCATCACCGACCATAGCTACTTTACCATGAATTTTTTTATTTTGTTTTAGACTGGCAATAAAACGTTCTTTATGTGTTGGTAAAACTTCAGCATAGACAGTTTTAATGCCTACTTGACTAGCTATTGCTCGAGCTGTTTTAACATTATCACCTGTCAATAAAATAGTACGTAGACCAAGTGATTGCAATGCATATACAGTTAATGGAGCCGTTGATTTTATTTCATCAGCAATAGCTAACATACCAACTATTTTACCTATATAGAACGAATACTAGTATATTAATCATTATAATTATTTTAATATTCGTACCATCAATAGCTACTAATACGGCTGTATGACCATCATGTTCATGTGCAGACATGGTTTTATCAATGCCGTCATCAAATTGTAAATGATTACGTTTCATCCATTCTCGATTTCCAATTAAAACTGAATATGTATGAGATGAATTAGTATTTGTATTCGATACAAGACAATCGATGTCACTAACATGAGCTTGAAGACCATAGCCCCAAATAGCTTTAAAATCACGACAAAGACCTAATTGATCCGTACCAAAATATTCTTTACAATGATTACGAACAGCTAAAGCTAATGGATGTTCTGAACCACTTTCAGCTGTTCCTATAAAAATACAGAAGACGTTTTATAAAATTAGTCATTTGTCTATCTATTACAAAGTTTTATTTACCTGCAATAGCTAACATTCGATCAAGTGTCATATTTGGATTTTGAAAAAATATTCTTTTATCTACTACTGATGGTTTGCCTTTTGTAATGGTTCCTGTTTTGTCAAATACAATTGTACCAATTTTATGTGCAGATTCAAGAGGTTCTCCGCCTTTAATAAGAATACCATTCGATGCACCAATACCTAAATTGTATATTTCTAAGAGTTCTGTCAATCAAAAATATATTATTATCAAACCTGTGCCGACCATAACAGCAGTTGGAGTTGCTAAGCCTAGTGCACATGGACAAGCAATTGATAATACAGTAATAGCATATCGAAAAGCAAGTTCAAGTACAATCTCAGTTTTTGATGGTTCATATGTAGTAGTCGAATTTACACCATGCGATGGTTCTTCATGTTCTGGTGCTTGATAATACTGTAAGCAAAAGAGATTAAGAAAAAGATTGATTCATTTAGAAAATACAAAAAAACAAAACAAAAATAATCGTTGAGATAATTACTGATGAATATTTTTCCATTTTATCAAAGATTGTATAACCCAAAATAATATAAATAATTAATGTAACTACTGAAACTGAAACAACAAATGGTACAAAATAACCAGCAATTTTATCAGCTAATTGCTGAATTGGTGCTTTAGATGTTTGTGCATCTTCAACTAATCGTATGATTTGTTTTAATGCTGTTTCTTGACCAACATGTGTTGCACGTATAATAATTAAACCATCAAGATTTTTTGTACCACCAACAACTTGTGCACCAACAGTTTTGTCAACTGGCATTGATTCTCCTGTTACTAGAGATTCATCACAAGATGTTACTCCATCAATAATTCGACCGTCTGTTGGAATTGTTTCACCCGGTTGAACTTTAAGTAGATCATTACGTTGTATAAGTTGAGCAAGAACTGTTTTTTCTTCAATAATTTTTCCTCGATTATCTAATTTAACCAATGTACCTTGTGGTGGTTGAAGTGATAAAAGTTTTTTTAATGCATCTGATGTTTTAGCCTAAATTATTATAACTATACTTTATCAATAATTTCTATTCACTTTTTGTCTTTTTACTTTAGCAGTATTTTCAAGCCATCGTCCCAAAGCAACAAACATAAAAAGCACTGTATAAAAAAATTAAATATAAAGCATAGATAGTGTATATCTCAACTCACTAGGTGAAACATCAAAGAATGCCATAGGACTAGGTACTTTCAAGATCATATTTACTATAACAACAATAACTGAATAAATATAAGCAATAGTTGTTGCTAATACAATAAGAACTTCCATATTAGCTGTTTTATGTTTTAATGATTTGAATGCTTGAATATAAAAATATCGACCACTGATAATCTACGAAGGAAAATTTTCAACGAAAATACTTTCAAAACAGTATAAATTAAAGACATTCTCACTTGAACAGGTGTAGCTAACAGAAACATAATTAAATTTTCAACGGATAAACCACGTGTAATTTGTGGAGCTTTCATATGATCTTTATATTTAAACATGAAAACAAGCATAATAATCATCGCTGGAA